TAATAACATCTGACATCATGTTATAATACATGCAGGCATCATTTTAATAATAACAAACAAAAACCTATCCCCCACTTTATGTCCAGTAGAAACTTATATTTACATAAATATATCCTTAAAAATAAAATTTTCCCAACATCAGTTGGTTAATACTGATTTTTATTCTGAATATATGTACTTGCATTATATCCGACATCATGTTATAATTCGAGGTGGGGATCAGTTTATTACTTAATAACAATAGAAAACCGCTACCACACATTATTTTTAGTAGAAACTTAGTCATATTTAATGTAAATATATATATATACTTAAAAATTTCCCAACATCATTTTATGAAAATATTGACTAATAAATTCTGACATCAGGTTATAGATGGTAGATCATTTTATTATTACTTAATAACCAAAAAAAGACCGGTCCCCCACTTTATGTCCAGCAGAAACATTAATATTATACATTAATATATCTTGAAAATTTTACCACCAATCTTATTGCGCAAACATCGACTTGAATAATAAAATCTGATATAATATAAATGTCCATAAAAAGTTTAATAGAACTTCTGAAAATTTTCCTATCAACATCTAAAATAATACAAGAAATAAAACAAAAAGAAAAAAAAAAAAAAAAAACTATTGAAAAGAACACAGTGTACTTTTGTTTTGGTTTATTTTTCTCAGTCTGAAAATACAAGCCAAGCTCAATTTTCTTATATCACCATTAAACATAAAAAAATATTCTCTATTTTTTTTCATAAAAAAAAATGATGTTTACGCGAGTATTCATGACATGATAATTGATTTCTATTCAGTTTTTTAAAAAGTAATAAATCTTAAGCAAGTGTCCTGTGATGTGGTTATCATACGGAATAAATGACAACAGAAACCAAACTTCTCTTCTACAAAAATCATGGAGTTTATTTGTTAATGTCCAAGACTAGATAAAGTTAAGGATTTTGAATTTTCAAATAATCAGGCCCTCACCACTGTGAAGACTGATGCAACATAATCTTCTCAGCACTAATTCAATCAAACTGAAACAGAGTTGGTTAATATCCACAATGAGAAAAATTGTGTTTATATAGTAAATATATTAATATTATTATATAATTTAGTAAATTTCTTGGCCTGAGACAAAAACAAAAAATATCTAGCTTTTTGGTCACTGCCAAATATACTGGATTATTACAAATATAAAATTTGTCACTTAGCTGATTGACTCAGCATCATAGACTGACCCTCTAACAATCACTCTGTCCACTCGTTAAGAGGTATCACCAATTGACTGTTTGGGTATTTGGACAGTAGTCCCTTTTTTTTTTTTTTTTATATAAATTTCATTAAAAATGACTGACAAGGTTATTTGATTAAGCTCTTTATTTTTATTGTTTTTATTTTTTTGACACATTTGTACAAGTGATTTCTTTTCTAGACAACCTGCCCAAAAGCGGATCCAAGTGGTTTTTTGCTAATTTATTAGCCATTATCAAGGATGTTTCTTTTGTTTCACTGATTATGTAAATTTTTGTATTTTTATATAGTAATGGAATGTTCTGATTTATGAATACAGCACAGGGTTCATAGGTGATTTCTTCTTTTTTTATTGTTAATGCTTCACTTATTTTTTAGCCTATAACATTCATATTTGCTTCAAGTATTTTCCAGTTATCTCCAGGCATGATGAACTGTTGTACTCTCAACAAAGTTCCTTGCCTGGAATATCTATTGAGACTCAAGCTGTCACCAGACCTCAGTCCAAAAAAAAAAAAAAAAAAAAAAAAATTTGTATAGTTTTTCTTAAGTGGTCACTTTTCAATCCCCTCTCAACATAAGGGATTGTTGATAAATTTTTAAAATATTAAGCAAAAAAAACAAAAAAAAATTACTATTTACTCTTCCCCACCTCCCCCTCCACGTTTTTTTCTTTTTTTTTTAAAATAGTAATTCCACTATATTCTTTAATATGATAAAAATTCATCAACAATCCCTTCAGTATTTCTTGAATATCAACTACCTAGTCTTCCACTCAGTATAAATATCTTAGATTTTTCTGTATTTGTCAACTTGTGCAATTTGCCCTAACTATTGATTGGAGTTCGAGTCAAAGTTCACCATGGTTCAGCTCTCAGTGTGCCATCCACCACTATGCAGCTCCTCTCCCAGAGGAGGAGGAGGGTTGGCATCAATGTCTGAGACATCTCAAGTTGTCCAAGAGAAACTGAATAATTTTAATCTGTCTTGTGGGTCTATGCTATTTTAATTGTGCAAGTTTATTATTTAAACTTACACCAAGTATACTGACGACAGTGATCTAATTGTTTGCATTGAAGAGGGGTACACATGACGGACATGCTACAGAAGACATGTCCAAATGATCTGTGGATCCAAGTGCTTTTAGCTAATTTATTAGCCATTATCAAGGATGTTTGTTTAACTGATTATGGAGATTTTTGTATTTTATATAGCAATGGAATGTTCTGATTTATGAACACAGCACATTTTTAGCAGGGTTCATAGCTGATTTCTTCTTTTTTAATGTTAACGCTTTACTTATTTTTTTAATCTATAATGTTCATATTTTCTTCAAGTAATTTCCAGTTATCTCCAGGCATGATGAACTGTTGTACTCTCAACGAAGCTCCTTGCCTGGAATGTCTATTGAGACGAGCTGCCACCAGACCTCAAACATATCAACCCTAACTAATGATGCTGGGTAAATGGTTGGTCCCTTGAACTATGCCAGAAGGCATATGACCTCTCCTGCTGTGCCCTATCTTAACAAATAAATGGAGTACTGCTGCCACATATGAATTGGAGCTATCCGATACCAACTTTCCTGCCTCAACAAAGGCCAAATGTGTTCACACAGGCTTGGGGGTGAGGAATTGTTTTCCTCTCTACAACCCTCTTTCCACAGATTGCTAGCCTCTTGTTTATTCTGCCACTATTTTCATGGCAGATTTTTAACATCTGCAGATTATAACCACTTCTAGACTTTTTTTTTGAAAGAGCAAATCAGCATTCTTAAATAACCTTTTGACAGTTGTGATATTGTTTAATTTTCCATCAATTCTTAAATTCTGCAAGTAGCTTGAGAACCACTCTTAAATAATGCCTCAAATTTGGCAGGGTGATATCTAGCATTATATAGAAGTCATGCATGACATCCAACTCATTCAGAAATGTCTAAACTATCATCTCAATACAACCAATTCATATTGTGTTCTTAAATAGCCTCATCAGATCTAGACTTTCATATGGATGTCATACATGGCATCCAACTCATTCAGAAATGTCTAAACTATCATCTCTATATAACCAATTCAAATTGTGTTCTTAAATAGACACATCAGATCTAGACTCTCATATGGATGTCATGAATGGAAATTTGCATAAACCACAAATTCATATTACAAATTCTCTGAACTACAATGTCATGTTTTTCTTAAACTGTAGCTTTTGGATCATCCATGTTTTTTTCCAATTATCATGCACACAAGACATGCATTTTGTTCCAGAAGGTAAGCCATTTTCCCTTCTACAAAGGAACAAACATTGCTTAGTGCAAACAGGGGATAGGAAGTGATGAAGAACCATAATCTCCCACCTCCTGAAGGGACATGAAACAGAAAAGTAAAAGTTAGTTTTCCTTTAGGATTGCTTGAATGAATAGTTGGAATAAATTCAGTACATCTTTTGTAATATATCCCTCTTTATCCTTTATCAGATTTTATAGACTGGTAAACATAATAAAAAAAAGAAATTTAATTAATAACAAATAACATCATTTGAAAACTTCTGACTGCAGCAAAAAACTAAAATGGATAAAGAGAATTGAACAGCTTGATTCCAAATATAACAGCAATTCTCCATTTTTGGCCTAATCTGACCCTTGTGAAGATGAAACATGGCAGAGGGGGTCAGAAACTTCTTGGAATGATATAGTGAGACACAATTTTCCCATTATTTTTAGCACGGATCATATATAAATTAATTGATTTAAAATATGTTTTTTTTCTGCTACACAGTTCTAACCATGTTTCAAAATATATATATATATATATATATATATATATATATATATATATGAATCTCACTTGAAGTTTAAAGTGAACTTGAGACCTGATAGACATTCAAAGCATAAAGCCTCATTTTGAGTGTAACCATTAACCTTGATTGAAAACTCATGGTTTAAGAACAGCAAGAGAGACTTGGGTCCAAAAAGAAAAATCTTATGTTTAAATGGTTTTATATACACCAATAGAATCACAAACAAAGAACTTTGCTTGCTAAATAACAAAATGTACATCACTTGTAGACTTCCAACAGCAAGAATAATTAAAATGGATAATACGGAATGAAAAATAATGATATAATTAAGGTGTTAATTTAACACAATACATTAAAGCGTTAACTTTCCACACTACCTTAAAAAGGCTAGGAAGGAAATGTCTATCAATACACAAAAGAGTGATAACAGTTAATGGAGTGGAGAAACTTGTTTTAAGAAAAACATTTCATAAATGTCAACTGAGTGACATTAACTGTTTGGTCAATGAATGCCAAATGTTTCATGCCTGGAAACAGCTAATCTCACCATTAGAGATGAGAACAGATACTACACTTTGATCCAAAATAAAATGCAAATAATAGATTTGGTTGGTTAATTCATTTTTATGATTTATCAACCCTTTGCAGGTTTTGGCCTAATTTAATCCTTGTAAAGATGAAACATGACAGAAAGAGTCAGAAACTTCTTGGAATGACAGTGATATCAGAAAGGATTTTTACAGTGTAAGAATTTTTTTTGCTTTTAAGATAATAATGGTTTCTTGGTACAAATCTTACTAATTAACCCATAGTTTGGGGTTGAATAGGTGGATTCAAACCTTTCCCAAGTATATTTGTGTGTAAGTGAATATAACGAACCTTAAAGAAATTGGAACTGGTCTCTCCGATTAACAGCTCTCAGTTATTACACCACCCACACATCCAAGTTGACAGCACCTGGTATTCCCAAGTGGTCACCCATCTAGGTACTGACCAGGATAGACATTGCTTAACTTCAGTGTTTATATAGGAACCAATATTTCAGTGCAGTGTG